AAAAATAAACGATGGGTATGCAGTTTAAGGAATTCATAACACATGGCAAGACAGAGAAATATTGGACCGAATGAGTATGAGGAAGAAAATTTGGTAATGGACAGTAAGTCAGATTCTCTAAAAGGCTACAGCTGCAGCTCAAACGTGCAGCCAGTAATTTTTTAGACATCTGACTTGGCTAATGAAATCCACCATGCCAAATAACGGCACTGCTTAACATATGATTTTTTTTTTTTTTTTTTGCAATTTTCAGTCAGGCAGCGTTTTTACAGTACTTTAACCGTTTTTAGTCGTACTGAAAATTTTCCAACTAAATAATTACGGAATTTTCTTTTACAATAAAACTGAATTCTTTGTTCATACTAATACAGCGCTTGTGAAGGCGTTTTACTTCAAATACAGGACTTAACTGAGGACTTAATCGTTGCATATATTGAAAGAAGCTAGTAATGTCCGAATGAACCGCGCATAATGTTTTTCGTTGCTCTGAAACATAGCCCGCAACTGACAGGAAAAATTATGAAAAAAATCACACCAATAAACCTAGTCAATCTGTTAGCCTACTCAAATTCAGAAAATCGGAGAACGCTTCAGCTGACATTCCTTCATTGCCATAAGTTAGTTCAGCGAACATACTTTCTTTCGTCAACTCGGGTCTTCATTCCGACGCAAAATTTTAATTAATTTCATAGGCACCAATCCCACTCTTGCACCATCAGCAGAGCTGAAATTTTAATTCGTAAGAACTTCATATGTCGAATCACAGGAAACTGCATAGGTCTGCTTTCATACTTTCGGCGCGCAATTATGACAAGAAGAGGAAATCATTGATGTGCTGAATATCTCACAAAATAACAAATTTAAGGTTTTTATAAAACAATTCAAGCTATTTGCTTATCAAATAACTTGCCTTGCCAGAAGGTAACCACGGCACTGTGGCTGATAACGCTTTGGTGCAACGCGTAACACTTCGTTACGTTTGAATGAAATTCTACCCTCTCCTGCAGCAGTATAGTCCTGAACGGCCTGAAAAGCAGAAATGCATTCAGAATTTGTAAACTTGAACATTGTTTTAAAAAACACCGGATCAAACGAAATCAATGACAAGCGGAACAGATATTTATTAGTAAAAATGTTCAAAGGTACTAACTACTGCTTCGTAGTATTCGCCTTCCCCATCTGACCATCGCAAACACTCCTCCAAATGAGCCACAGCGCGTGCTAATAATCGGAGTGCGAAATACGATCCAATTATTACGGAGAGCCATAAAACCCAAGAAAACAAAGGCCGAAATGAATTTGCTTCGGTCTGCGCTAGCGGCGGCAGTGCCTGTGTCAACGGTTCTGAAAATACAGTGCTTCAGAAAATCATTTTCAAGCGAACAAAATAAGC